AGAACTGAGCTACATTGTATACAAGAAAGGGCAACTAAATGCTGAAATCCTAAGAACCAGAATTTTTGCCATAACTGTGTAGCCTTTATTTTGATGATTTCCACACTAATTTACTATACTACTTAGATGGTGTCTCTTAGCCCTCAACACCTTCCTGCCACTCAGGGAAACTGTGTGTCGCTGACAGCAGTATTGACATGAGACTCAGATTTAGTTTGCTAGCCTTTCAGATCTTCTAGCCAGAGCACATCCAGACTGTACCTGAACAATTGCTTGTTTCTCCCAGTGAAGCATATTTATCTGGGGCTCTGATGGAATGTCTGCCTGGCATCTGGCTAGGAAGGAGTGATGGGACCTTGAACAACCATCGCACATTTCCTAGCTGCACTGGGCTCTGAAACACTCTTAAGCCCTTACTTCATACCCTCTTGCAAATGAATCACAGGCTGGAACTTGAAGGATGGGTAGAGTAAAAGACAGATGGGTGTAGGGGTGGAGATTAAGATAAAGAAACGGCATGGTCTGAGGTGGGGAAAGGTGAACATAATGTCTATTTATGTAGAGACGAGGGGCAACCAAGCAGTAAAAGTCTAAGACTGCTAAGACTCCAACGTTTAAGAGACAATTTAGCAAAATAAGAAGGTAGATTTAGCCAGATCAGTATGGTCTCTGACACCTCGGTTATAACTGAGTTTTTAGTTCCCAGACACTAGAGGGACATTTCCTGTAGTATTCTATACAAACTACTACATGCCTGTGGCCCGAAGCAAATCATAAACTTTTGAGTTTGGGAAGGGTGGTATACCTCTGGACTGTGAGAAAATGAAATGTCCCAACTATGGATCTCACAGCTTTCTCCCATGCAGTATCTGAGGTCTTCTGAACAGCTCTTGCTAACTGCACTCAGTGTTTTGAAACCACTTTCAGGAAAACACTTCCAGCCTGTGAAGCCTGTGTCTTGAAGACGAGCATGACAGGGCTTCCCTTTTCACAGCACACGGAAGTGAGTGACTTAAAGACCTAGAGAACATCAGTGTTATAACTGGGAATGAAGTGTCCTCTCTGCGTGTTCTGTCCATGAGATCACCCAACCCAAACTGAACTCCTCCCGTGAGGTAATAAAGTCAGCTCTCGCAGCTGTGGGTTTGGGTTGTAATTCCTGCCTGGCATGCAGTTGATAGAAACCTTATCTTGCAGAGACAGCCCTAACAAGGACACGCCCTGCGCCCTGCACAGGCAATGCCCAAATAGTTTTCAAGTCAAAAAATGAAAATTTCTAAAGGTTATAACTTTTTTTTTACTTTGTGATTTCCATGCAGACTGGTCAATATGTTTATTTGTAGAAGTTACGGATAGATAATTTGTCACAAAACCGGTACGAAAACTCACAGATACTGACCTCCAACTCTCTGACATTTCTACCTTACTTTCACAGAATGAAGACATAAATAGGAATCTTGTCTGTGCCAAAAGATGTTTGAAGACCATTTCCATGAGGCAGTATTTTAAGGGAGCTATCCTGATTTGATTTTGCAAAGGATTGACAAGCTCAATGTAGGTCAGATTGTATAAAATATTAGAATGTCCATACTGTGTGTGTTCATTTATTTTTTTTCTCTGTTGGAAGTTTTTTTTTCTTTTTAAAAATCAAACCCAAGCATCCAATTACAACTTAGAAACATTGAATTTTCTAAAGTATAAAGTGCTATGAGGAATAAACAACATCTGAGCCTCAGTTCATTTTGTATGAACTCCGCAGTCAATGGCTCTTAAAGAGGGCGTGGCCTCTTACCAACCGGTTGCCATTGGTGGGTAAGGTGCCAAATACAGTGACCCAGTTCCTGCTCATCCACAGAGTCACATGCTCTGGGAAGTCCCCATCAGCCTGTTAATCACACCGCTGCATTGCCTTCCCTGACTTGGGCAGAAAAGTATTTTTTGTTTGTTTCTTTTTTCTCTTATTTTCCTGCAAGGAAGGTATTGTGGCCTGAGAGGATGATGTTGCCCTGGGGCAGCTCTCTGCTCTAAGATCTGGCTCTGCCCTTCCCACCTCCCAGTCCTCCTCATTATCCCAATCTGTGCCCGACACAGCAATACAGAGAGGAAAAATTCAGTCTATAGCCCCAGGCGTGGCACATCCCTCAGGAGGGGCAGAAACAAAGGGCATTTCTGTAGAGCATTTCAGTAAGAAAGGGCATCAAAAGTCAGTCTTGTGCCACCAAATTGTGGCAGAATCTGGGCAACTCACAATACAAGTCAAACCTCTTTAAAGACGGTTTCTGTGAAGGAGAGAACTTCCTCTCTCACCTGATGCATGGTTTTGTATCACTGGATACCAAATACCTAAAGGCTGGCACATACCGGAAGCGAATGTCAGTGATTGCTACCTGCATGGAACTGCTTGGGCATCCTGACAAGGTAAGTTCCCAGAAGACCCACAGGACAAAGGCCAGTGTAGCTCAAAACAGATCTCACTTTAAACTGGAAGAAACACAGCTAAGCAAACCCCACTTTTACTAGATTTCCTCACACACTTACTATGAGGAACTAAATATTTCTTCCGAGTCAAGTGGGTTGGTTTTCCTTATTTTGTCAAGTTCATTGCTTAATTGAATAATGCCTCTGTTTGGGTCCATACATCTTGGAGAGGAGGAACTCAGACTAGTTATTGAACTTGGAACATCAAGGAAGCGGTGGCTGCAGGGAGACAAGGGGCAGAATCCAGACCTGTGCCTGTGGTGAGCGTGAGACAAGAAGAGTGACGGGAAGATGAGCATTGTTTCATGACCTGCTCACAGTGCTGCGGGGGTCATTCACAGCTTTGAATTAGGCATGGGCCAGAATACCACGGATTCTAAGCACGTGGTCGTAGAAGTCTTTCAGACAGTAATATGTTCTGAGGCTCTGTTCACTGCTAGTCTTCTGATACTCTTAGGTCCTTAATGTGTGGCAGTTAGGGGTTTGGGAATGAGTTACTGTATCACAACAGGAACAAACCCTTTGAAAAACAGAAAATGAGTAACTATTAACAGAGGCATGTCTCCTGTGTTCACTGTTGTTTCTTGCTCAGTTCTCTACCGGATCTCTCAAGAATCAGTTCCTACATGGAACTTACTAAGTTTGAAGTTATTAGCCATAATGAAATCAACAATATTATCTCTTTTCTTCCACTGTTCCACAAGCACGGCTTGCTAAAACAGACTGCTTGAGAAGCAGATATGCATTCATTCACTTTACCTTTTTAAACAATTTAAACTTTTCTTTAGTACATGATATGAACCTCTTCACAGAAAAATTTCTGCTTATTATAAAGCAGAAGAACAGAATGTGGTGGCTCACGTGTTTAGTTCCAGTATTTGGGAGGCAGAGGCAGGTGGATCTCTGTGAGGTTGAGGCCAGCCTGGTCTACATGATGAGTTCTAGGTCAGCTGAAACTGGAGACTGTCTCCCCAGAGATAGCTATGGAGTGTTTCTCTTCAATATTTTAGTTTTAGTGTAATTCATGTATCCTAGAAAACTCCGATAGGAGTTATTAAATATTCAGATAAGATAATAATGGCTGGAAAGCTATTATGCAGTAATTTAGGCTTACGTGATGCAGGCAACGATGCCAAGTATTCTTCCTGGTAACCTAAAGTTGAAAATATCACGGGGACAACTGATGTAGAAGAATAGTCTGTAAAGAAAAAGGAAAGAAAATGTTTAAAATGTGCTTCCCACAGCATACAGAATGGCACAAAATATGTGCCACTATTCATCTGATGGAAGGCACATGTAGAACACATAATAAACATAGCACCTAAACATACCAACTAATTCAATCTAAAATGGGCAAATGATCTGAGCAGATACTTCTCAAAGGAATACAAAAGGTCAACAGATATTTGAATAAATGCACAGTATTGGTAACCACCATGGAGTTGTCATCATTTGCCAGCTGGAATGGTATTCTTCTCTTTTTAAGATTTATTTATTTTTATTTTATGCATATGAATATTTGCCTGCATGTATGTCTGTGTACTGCATGCATGCCTGATACCCACGGAAGTCAGAAAAGAGTTGTCAGAGTCCCCGAAACTGGAAATGACAGATGGTTGTAAGCCATCATGTGGTTGTTGGAACCTGAACCCAGGCCCTCTACCAGAGCAGCCAATGCTTTTAACCGTTGCCCTTAACTTCAATTCCCCTTTTTTGCTTCTTGTTTTAGATGGGGTCTCCCCATAGCCCCAGATGATCTGTAACTTGCTCTGTAGCCTAGGCTGGTCTCAACCTCACAGAGATTCATCTGCCTCTCCCTCCTGAGTACTGAGAGGCATGGACCGCCACATCTGGCTGGAATGACTTTCATTTAAAAAAAAAAAAAAGAAAAGAAAAACAACAACAAGGGCTGGTGATGATGTGGAGTGAGTGAATGTAACTCAGAGTAGGTAGGAATGTAAATTAGTGCAGTCAACATAAAGGACAGTATGAAGCTGGGACACTCTAAACTAAAACTAGATCTACCATATGACCCAGCCATTTTATTAGTGAGTATATAATGAAAGAATATGAAATCAGTGTACCAAAGACACCTGCGTGTCCACACTTATTGCAGCTCTGTTCACAATAGCTAAGATACAGAAGCAGCCTGGTGCCCATCAGCACATGATAGACATACAGAATGGAGTACTAGTCAGTCATATCCCCAGCTTTGCTCCCTAGTCCATTTCTGTTATCATAGCACCAAAATACATATTTTTAATGATAGTTATCAATTATACTAACTCTTATACATAATATGCAATAAACAGCATGTCACCTTGTGTTAGGGACTGGAATAAATACAGCACATTAAGTACCCTGTTAAGTTCTTTGGGTGTTACTGTGAGGCGGGTACTACTATCACCCACATTTAAAAGACAAAGATGTTGAGGCAAAGAGGGGGATAGAGACTTGCCCTGATGTTTCCAGACTTTCAGCTTTGAACCCAATTCCGTCTGTTCCTTATGCCTGCACTCTTAAATGTTGCTTCACTGTACCCTCTCCACCCAGGGAGTTGTAGAATTGGTTGGGTCTCATTCTTATATTCTATAGAAGGTTCAACACATCCTAACTGCTCACTGTAACTCATGTCACAGCTATGTCTATGGGCTAGATACATTTCACATAGCTGCCTCCTCCTCGTCCACCTGCTGGGCCCCAGGATTTCCCACACAGGATAACCACATTTGAATGAATATTACCTACAATATTCTCAGAAGGAGCCAACAAAGAAGCTACTTTAAAACAGCTTGATGATAGTCTTATGCTATTTCAACGATCTGATTTAGATCTCACCCTAACCATAGAACACTCAAATCAATGAGAAAGCATTTTTTGTTTTGTCTGCATCAGACCTCAATAACAGCTCCACAGAGGGAAGCCCCTTCATGGTTTCAGAGCTCTTGTTTATATTTGGTCTCTTCTCAGAAGTTAAATATAATATTGTTTGAAAATAAATGAGCACATATACAGTTTTACCTCCATTAATAACTTCAACTTGGGAATTATCCCTTCATAACTCAAACAAAGCAACACATTTATTTATATAGAGATATTTCTCAAACTTGACACAATTCTTTCAATTCTAACTAGACTGAGAATGAAAGCAAACTTCTCATAATGGGAAACTGATTCAGCCACAGATGGTAGGCTGTCTTGTGTCACCTCCATCCTCAGTCCTTACAACCAGCTGAATCCCAATAAAACCCATCCACCAGAGTGAAATTTAATATACTATTCATTCATTTGTTCAGTTAGGCAAGAACACCAAAATGGAAGTGGTTTGTATTTTAACCCATCAGCTCATCTCCAATAAAACAGCATCAATCTAAAAACATTCACTTACCTGATGATGGCAATTCACTAGGTGTTGTCTCGCTCATACTGGGACTGTGAGCTTGCTAACAATCAGGAGGACTAAGCATCATCACCCGCTGTCCCCGCCTACACGCCAGTATCTCTCAGGCCCAGCTTTCTGAGGCCTCTATCGGTTGATATACATTAAAAGGCATTTTAAATGATGCAAAGTTATCATATGCCTGTTAATAAAGATATTCAAAGGTCTGCCTACGGTAACTACAGGAGTGTTAAATAAAAATCTTCAAAGAACTGACTGTTATGTATTAAAATTTACTTTGCATAGTCAAGTGGGCATTGCAAGGTTGTAGCAGGAACCAGCTCAATTGGACAAAAAAAAAAAAAAAATCAAACTTTAGAGGTCAAGGTAGGTGGACTGAGGCAGAATACAGATGTTTCTAAGATGGAAGTTCTTATAATTCACTGAGAAAGTGACTTCTTGTATGTGAAATACAGGTATTTGAAAACTTTCCTCAACATTCAGGTGCTCTGAGTTTTGGAAAAATCTTTCAAATTTGTGACCAATCAAGGAGTGATGAAATAAACGCAACACACGAGGAATCTTCCAGTGAAAATGAAATTAGATCTAAGCCCACACTGTCCACCTGGCTGGAGCCTGTGAGTAGTTTTTATCTAAAATGCACCAAGTGAGCGTAAGTCAAAATCCAAATGATTAATATAGACTTTTGAAAACAGAAACAAACCCAAAATCTTGTCAGGGAGCTGGGACTGGCCTTGAGCTAGTGTGGCGTTATGATTCCTTCAGGTGGGCACGCTGATCAACTCCAGCCAGATTAAAGGAAGGAAAAACCGACTGGGTTCTCCGGATGGGAAGGGAAGGCAAACCCCAGTATGTGCCAAATTGGAGCCGCATGGCGGCCTCTAGTGGCAGGTCTGTAGAATAGAAGGCAAACTGACCACAACTGGAATAAACACATCAGGTTACACTTTGCCCTCCAGGTCTACATCGTATTCTTCCTAAAACACCTGTTCAGACTCATCATAAAATCCTGGCCTTGACTTACCTCGTGAAAACTCGGTAGGAAAATTCACCTGTAGTTTGCAGATTTTTGAATAGGTGTTTAAAGATTTTTGAATAGTGTTTAAACAAACACTTTGGAGACATTCCATCTGACAGTAATCTCACCCCAACTTCCTGCTACAGTATATATGTCCTTGGGCCATTTTACTTAATTTTAGTTATTGTGTGAGTCAGTGCTATGTCGGGGCCAAGAAATAAGATGAAATAAGATGTTAGGAGGAAATTAACTTGGATCACTCAACACCAACCAACATCTTACTTACTGCATCCTTTTATTTTTGCTTATTACTGTAACTACTGTACTAGGCGTTCAGATTATCCCTGGAGGTGATTCCAAGTCAGTCTCATCTGCCAGGGAAGAAGTGGGATGTTTTAATGTTTTTCATGGAGGACCAAGGAGAAGAAGAGGACAGGATACTGAGACGTCAGTGTAAGAAAACGTCCTTACTTGTCCCCAAGGGCTTTTCTTTTCAGATTGATTTGGTTATCATTGCTCAAATAGGAGTATGTTTTAATAAAAACCCAGGGCATTCAATAAATGTCTCTTTTGCACTTTTGAGACAGGCTGTAGCCCAGGCTGGCCTCAAGCTCATTCTATAGCTGTCTCTTTGACCTCACTAATGCCGGGATTACAGACGTGTCTTCATGCCTAGCATGCACAAATCTTTATTTTCCTTAGTTTCGTTTCTGTTTCTGTTCTGTTTTGGAACACCAAAGAGCAGCGGTGCCATCTCACATTGCTTTGTTTTCCTTCTCTAACTCCTTTCTGGTTCTGGACTTACAAATCAATTTTAGTTAGCAAACCTGTTTTTCAAGGCCTCGAGGACTTCTAGTGATGAAGTTTGATTCTGATTCACTTTCTTTACAATTATAACATGATTCAGTGTGTGTTGAAGGGGTGTTCAATGATACCAAAAAAATCAGAAACTGTCTATTACAGTGTCATGTGTGCAGGGACTTCCTGCTCCACGTTGCCTCTAATTCCACTGGGCTCCGCTACTGGACTCAGGTGGCATTCGCCATCTTTCTTCTGAGGTCCAGGTTTCTCTGTAAACATACAGTCATTTGCCAAATGATTGGTGTTCTAATTTGCTTTCTGTGATAAGACACTGATCAAAACCAACTTGGAGAGGAAAAGTTTTATTTCAGTTTACATCTCCCAGGTCACAGTTTGTCACTGAGGAAAAGGTTTATTACTGCTTACAAATGACAGTCCATCATCTAGGAAAGCTAAGACAGGAACTCAAGACAGGAACCTAGAGGCAGCAGCTGAGGCAGAGACCATGGAGGAATGCTGCTGACTAGCTTGCTTTACCTAGCTTGCTCAAATACTTTTCTTATATAGCCCAGGCCCACCTGGCCAGGGTGGCACTGCCCACAGTGGACTGAGCCATCCTATATCAAGAAAATGCCCCACAGACTTGGTCATAGGCTAGTTTGATGAAGGAAATTCCTGAATTGAGGTTCCCTCTTCATAGGTGTATCAAGTTTGACAACAGAAGTTAACCAGAATCTACTAGACACTGGGTCATAGGCTGGAGATACAACATTCATTAACTTGGGTTTCCCTTCTGGAAATTTCAGGGTAATTGACAGACCAACAAATACAAAGGCGATTGTCATGGAGTGCCAAATGGTGGTTAGTAGTGATCAGAGGACACTCCAGGAGTACAGAGGGCTGACTTAGGGCTCTGGGAAGCTTTTCTAGAGAAAATAACAACTCAAAGGATGAGTGGACAAATTAAAGAAAAAGAAAGAACATCAAAGGCAGAGAACATTATTAGTAATGATAACATGAGTGATGAACTGGAGGGAGGGAGAAAGGGAGCGAGGGAAAGAAGGAGGAAGGAAAGGACAGAGGGAGGAAGAGAGGAAGAGAGGGAGAGAGGGAGGAAGGGAGGAAGGGAGGGAGGTAGGGAGAGAGATTCAGAGAAAGAGAAAACAAGAGAAAGAGAACAGAATTACACACACACACACACACACACACACACACACACACACCCATCTCCTTTTCCATGTCTAGGATACCAGTACATTCTGTCCATTATTTTTGTAAACATGGAGATAAAAATATAAAGTAATTTCATAGACTTTTAAAAATTAAAGTATAACACACCCAGACTTCTAAGCGTAAAATTATATGCATATTGGTACGTATAGCCATGACTGAAACCGTGGCAGAGGATATTCTGAATACTCCAGAAAAACTTTTGTTCTGTTTCCTAGCTAATGCCTGACCCGACACTGACAAAAGCATCACTCTGACCGCTAACACCATCAATTCCTTGTGTCTGGTTTGAACTTCATAGGAACTGAACGACACACTATAAGCTCATTTGTGTCTGGGGTTGGGTTTTGTTTGAATTTCTCTTTTTCCTAACATGCAGCAGGAGTAGAGATTTATTCGGGTTTCTGTTGCATAGAACCGCGCATTCTTTCATGCTGCAGTGTGTCTCAGTGCGATTCAGCGACCTTTCTTTTCTCCCTGACGGTCCTGGGGAGGCATCGCTGTGCATCAGGTGCCGTGTGAAGCGTGGACCGCTTCTGGACTCTGTGCTGCTGTGACTCTATTTTTGTGTCAGAGCTGTATTGTTCTAGCTCCGTATCTTTATTATACTTAAACATTTGGTCTTTCACTTTGCTTTTTCAAGACAGCCTCAGCCATTTTATATCTATTCAGGATATTGGAATGTACTTTTACATATTAGTTTTGGAATCAACTTGCCCAAATTGGTGTAAAGGCTCTCCCGGCGTTGCACTGAGTGTTTAAATCTTTGGGGGAAGAATGGAAATCTTAGCAATGCTGCATTTTCTTATGTATCAACATTATCTCTCCCCCTTTATTTTTCTATTCGTTAATTTATTTGCTCTTCTCTTACTGCTTTGTAATTCCTTCTATAGCTTCATGGTTAAACAGGACTGCCAACCTGATAGGATTCAGGCTCACATAGAATACACATCTCTGGTCATGTGTGTCTGTGAGGGCATTTCCAGAGAGGCTTAACTGAGTTGGGAGGACCCACCCTGAACGTGGGCGGCACCATCGCACGGCTGAACAGAAAGAAGCCTGAAGCACCAGAGCTCGCTCGTTCCGTTTTCGGACTGTGAACACAGTGTGAGCAGCGGCCCGATGGTTTTCCTACCTTAAGGGGCTGTACCTTCAACCCACGAACCAAAATAAGTACTTCCTTACAAAACAGTGAGAAAAGTATCTAATACAGCCATACTGCTCATTACTGTCGGATTTGTGCTATTAGAAGAGGTTCTCTTAACTTTAAATTTCCGGCCGAAAAATAGAAATACTTTTTTTAAATTTTTGTTTTTGCATCTAAAAATATTGCTGAAACTTATTTTTAATTCTAACAGCTTATATGCTTTTCTGTGTTCAATTCACATAATTCTGTTAAATCTATATCTACCGCCAGTTTAGTTCCAAGTGCATGCACCCTGGCACACACACACACCCTGGCGCACACACACACGTGTTCATAAGCTTGTTTCACCCTTAGGAGAACCTCAGTGAAATGTTTAAAGACGTGATGCTGGTGGACAATCCTTATCAAAAAGGTAAGTCCGTGCCTGGCTTCTGAAACATTTTATTCTGAAAGATCAACATTTCTCTTGCTGTGGTGGTGATCATGTGATTTTCTTCTTTGCTATATTAATTTGGTGATTTTCATAAATTTATTTTATTTTGGGGGTTCTTTTTGAGACAGGGTCTCCTGCTGGCCTGGTACTCACTATGTAGACCAGGTTGGCCTCCATCTCATAGAAATCTGCCTGCCTCTGCCTCATGAATGCTGGGATTAAAAGGGTGCACCACCATGCCCAGCTCTTTGTTATTTTACAGTAACGACTATTCCTAGAAGAAAATCAACCTAGACATAGTAAGTTAACATTTTGTATATTACACTGGGTTCTGTATGGTTATATTTGAAACATTTCTGCATTCATATTTTGTAGAAACAGTGCTGTATATTTTTCCT